CAAATCCTTTACACATAGCAGATGCTTTAACACGTGCCCTCCCCTTCACACCTGCCTGCAACAAACCACAATAAGGTGTACTTACTAATGGACTATTGTTTAGGAACAGCAATGAAGAGTGAATTGTGTAGATTCTTTCCTTGAAGTACTAGATTCCTTTTTTAAATTAAGTTTTGACAGTGACACTTTATTTTTTTATATTTTAGTCTTTTTTATTTATTGATTTATTTATTATTATTTTTAAATCTTTATTGTTGAATATATTACAGATGTTCCTCATTTTTCCCTCATTGACCCCTCTCCTCCCCACTCCCGCCCCCCTCCTGCCTTTTCCCACACTGTTGTCTGTGACCATTGGTTATGCATATATGCATATAAGTTCTTTGGTTTATTTCTTCCCACTCCCCAAACTCCTCTTCCCTTTGAGGTTTGTCAGTCTAGCAACCAATTTGTTCTTCTTCTTTTTTTTTTTTTTTTTTTATCCTCACCCGAGGACAGTTTTTGATATTTTGTTCAGATAGAGTGGGAGGGAGGGAGAGAGAGAGAGAGAGAGAGAAACATCGACGTGAAAGGGACACATCGAGTAGTTGCCACCCGCACAACCCAACCAGGGCCGGGGACAAACTGCAACCGAGGTACATGCCCTTAGCGGGAACCGAACCTGGGTCTCTGGGGACCACAGGCCGACGCTCTAACCGCTGAGCCAAACTGGCCAGGGCCCAATTTGTTCTTCTTAATCCCTTCACCTTTTTCACCCATTCCCCCAACCCCCCTTCCATCTGTCAACCAACAAAATGTTCTCTGTATCTATGAGAATGTTTCTGTTCATTTTGTTTGTAGATTCCATTGTCGGTAGATATGTATTCATTGCCATTTTTTGTTCATATATTTTATCTTTTTCTTCAAAAAGACCCTTCAACATTTTATATAATAACGGTTTGGTGGTGACGAACTCCTTTAACTTTTTCTTGTCTGGGAAACTCTTTATATGGCCATCGATTCTAAATGACAGCTTTGCAAGATAGAGTATCTTGGTTGTAGGTTCTTGCTTTTCATCACTCTGAATATTTCTTGCCACTGCCTTCTGGCCTGCAAAGTTTCTTTTGAGAAATCAGCTTACAGTCTTATGGGAACTCCCTTATAGGTAACTAACTGCTTTTCTCTTGCTGCTTTTAAGATTCTCTCTTTGTCTTGAACCTTTTGCATTTTGATGATGATGTGTCTTGGTGTGGGCTTCTTGTGCTTCCTGGACTTGTATGTCTGTTTCCTTCACCAAGTTAGGGAAGTTTTCTGCCATTATTGTTTCAAATAGGTTTTCGATTTCTTGTCCTCTCTCTTCTCCTTCTGGCACCCCCAAGATGTGAATGTTGGCACACTTGAAGTTGTCCCAGAGGTTCTTTACACTATCATTTTTTTGGATTCCTTTTTCTTTTTGCTGTTCTAATTGGGTGTTTTCTGCTTCCTTATATTCCAAATTGATGGTTTGCTTCTTGGCTTTACCTACTCTACTATTGAATCTGTGTAAATTATTCTTTATTTCAGTTAGTGCCTCCTTCATTTCTGACTGGTCCTTTTTTATGCTCTTCAGGCCCTCACTAAAGTTCGCTGAGGTTCTCACTAAGTTCATTGAGCATCTTTATAAGCAGTATTTTGAACTCAGCATCTGTTAGGTTGCTTATCTCTATTTCACTTAGTTCTTTTCCTGGAGTTTTGTTCTGTTCTTTCATTTGGGACCTGTTTCTTTGTCTCCTCATGTTGGCTTCCTCCCTGTGTTTGTTTCTATGTATTACGTAACAAGAGGTATGGGACTAGCTGAGACCAGATGCTGCTTGTTTGAAACAATTTAGGAAACCCTGAAGTAGGATCCAAGACAGGCCAATCCTATGGTAAGCAAGTGGCAACAGCTTGGGTGGGCCTGAAAGTTGGGTGGGGCGGGGCCTCAGGGAGTCACCAGGGCGGGGCAACCAGTATGAGCCAGGTTGCTGGAGTTCCAGATATGGCGGCTGTCTGCCGCCCCAGGGAAGGACTCACCAAAGGAACAAAGGCCTCTGACAGCACGTCTATCCCAGAGAAAGCCCCCCTCTCCAGCCCTCGCTCCAGTGCCACACAGCTCAGTTCTTCCCTGTATGTCTCTGGCGCCCCTCGAGCTGCCTCCTGTCCAAGCTTAGAGGGAATGAGTTCAATAAGTCCGTGTGCGGGCCCTTTAAGGAGCTGCCTGGGGCTCCAGCCGTATCAACCTCCCTGAGCCTCAGTTCCCGCTGGTTTTTCCAGCCAGAAGTGATGGGGATTCTCTCCCTGGCACTGGAACCCTGAGCGGGGCATCTGGTGTGGGACGGGGACCCCTCAGTCCTCAGGGAAAACCTTCCCAGCCAAGGTGTCCTCCTGATTTTTATCCGCCACACGTGGGTGTGGGACCAGCCCGTCCCCTCTGCCCTCCTACCAGTCTGGATGCGGCTGCTGCTTTAATTCCATAGTTGTAGGACTTCCATTCAGCTTGATTTCAGGTGGTTTTGAATGATGGTTGTTCTGTAGTTTAGTTGTAACTTTGATGTGGTTGTGGGAGGATGCAATACTGCGTTTACCTACCTGCCATCTTGACTGGAAGTCTGACAGTGACACTTTAGACCTGCTCTTGGTTTTATGGGTGCTTCACCAACCCAATCACAGGCATATTCCAACATGATCAACAAAGATAACATTTCAAGACCAATCAGGATAATAAAACAGCATCTGTATATAAAAAACCTTTCATTTTCAATTACAAATCAATTCTTGAAGTTTAAAACACCTGTATTTATTTTAAATAATTTGTATTGGCAATAGACTAATTTTTAAGTAGTTATTTTATTCTAATTTTTAAAATTTAATTTATTTAGGTAATAAACTAATTTGTGTGACTCTAAATAAAAGAGTTCGGAAGACAAATCTATACCTAGCACAGACTCAATACTTAATGCTTGTCTGTTACATGAATAAAGAGAAAACCTGCTAATATTTTTACAATCATAGAATTGAAATGTTGAGAACTAGGATTATAAGCAGAATTCTCTAATTAAGAAGAAACTAAATTCCAAAGAAAGCATGTGACTTGTCTAAGATTATAAGAAAGGTAACAATATTAGACCAAAACATAACTGTCAGTTTATTTTATTTTTCATTTTCTGAAGAAACCCAAACCACTAATTCAAAAGAATATATGTACTCCTAAGTTCATTGAAGTGTTATTTACAATAGCCAAGATTTGGAAACAGCCTAAGTGTCTATCAGTAGTTGAGTGGATAAAAAAAATGGGGTACATTTACACAATGGAATACTACTCTGCTGTAAAAAGGAAGAAAATTTTATCTTTGGGACAGCATAGATGGACCTGGAGAACATTATGCTAAGTGAAATAAGCCAGTCAGAGAAAGACATGTACCATATGATTTCACTCATATGTGGAATTTAATGAACAAACTGAACTACCACACAAAATAGAGACAGACTCATAGAGAGCAGGCAGACAGCTCTGGCGGTAGTGGGTGTTGGGGGGCGGGGGGGGGGGGGGCGCGGTAGAGAGATTGAGCAAAAAAAGAAAGAAAGAACTTATGGACATGGACAACAGAGTGGTGATCTGGGGGTGGGGGAGGTGGAAGAGGGTATAGGGGCAATAAGTGGGGAAAAATAAACCATAACTATCATTTTAAAGCCAAATATATGTTTTTATCATCTCTGAGACCCTATAAGTTTATATTTTATTTCCATGAACATGGAGAATTGTCCCTTAATAGAAAAAAGATAACCTCAGTTTTCTGTTTATTTTTATATTTAATCAAAGGTACCCATTATTCATTGCAACTAAGAAATCAGAGCACACATGAAGGAGGACCCCAACTGTACAAAACAAATAATTTGCGGGATAAAATGGATATAAATTTTCTGGTCTTAATCATTAATAAATTGCTATTGATACTTTTATAATAGATAAAGAGATACATAAAATTAAATTTGTAAAATAAAAAACAAAATTATTTAAATTTAATAATCAACACTACTGAGTAAGAAATAGGCATCAGGCCTGATCTAAGTACATGTTTTATCCTTATACATTTAATCTTTACAATAATCTTGTAAGGTAAAGAAAAGTCCTGCAATCCTCACTTTACAAATAAAGAAATTGAGGCACATAAGAAGTTAAATAACTTGCTCAAGATAACACAGGATTAAAGCCCAGGCGATCTGGCACCAGAGCCCATGCTTTTAACCACCATATGACTGTTTTTAATACATTTTATAAAAGCCTAATAATTCATTTTTGTTTGCTATGTAGTTAAAGCTCTATATTTGAGTTATTAATATTTTCAACTATATAATAAGTATTTTATTTATGCAGCATTTTAAAAATATTTTTATAAATAGACCACAAAAAAACACAGGTTACATATTAAGAATACAATGTTAAGACATTTTTAGATGCTTTTCCAGTGATGTTTTAAAGGATTAAAGAAAACCTACCTAAAGTATGAAAAGTACTGCTAGTGAATCTAAATGATGTCATAATTAGGTCTAAAATTATTTAGCCACACATGGAAAAGAAATGAGACTGTTTAGATTCTGTTGTTGTTCTGCAATTAATACATTTACCTTAACAGTTATAAACATTTTAAAGAAAAAACTGATCAAGCTGACTTAATTCTAGAGAGAAAAATATATGTGAATCATGCTTTAAAACCAGTATCAGAAGCAACCCAGAGTCACAGGCCTGATAATCCCAAAGTGATCATCAGGCCTGTGATTCTGCACATACTTTGATTATATCACCATTTAGAAAAGGAGTTATAAATAACCACAATAGTAACTAGAAAAAAAAATCCCAGTCTCATATCAGCTACATTTTTCCATCACTGCGCATAGAATTTCTGATGATAAAGTCTATTGCCAGCACATGCTATAAACCAAATTACTGAAGAATCAAGAATAACTGTTCTTTGAACTTTTCCACACCTGACTTTATTGCTTACCTGAAATCCATGCTTGCCTCTCCACCATGTGCTTAACACTTTGGGTGGCATGTCAATAACAGAAACAATATCGCCCACCTAGAAGAAAAGAATTAAAGTGAAATATTTTTAGTCAAATTTTAAACCAACTGTTATGTCTAGAATTTAATCTGAACTGTAACAAAAGAGTAAAGCACTATGTAACTCCATGGCTAATATTTTCTGGGAAAAAAAAATATTTCTTTCTGTAAAGAATTTAGTGCAACAGTGGCTGCTATTAATACCAAAGTCAGTGAGCGCTTACCATGTGCCAGGCTCTGTGCTAAGCACTTGGTATTATCTTATTTAATCATATAGGAAAGGCCTAAGACATCTACAATGAGCAAACATAAAATTTAATGACAACTACACTTCTTTTATTGATGGTACAATTGCTTACCACCGTCACTCTAAAAATAAACTAGTGAGTTTATACAACTTTTGCAAATTATATAAACATAAATTGCAATAATAGTTTTTAATAACATTTAATGGAAGTTACATTCTTCAAAGTGATGATCTCTGTGATAGAAGTACTTCAGAGCAATCTTACTAATGTATATAATGTTGCTTTAAGAATTTTTCTTTGTATATTCACAACTAATTTTTTAAGTCAGAAAAGAGTCAACTTCACAAAGACATATTTGCTACAAGACTTGGCATCTTTCAAGTTCTACATTCCTTTGAGTATAAAACCTAAAATTTAAGTTTGAGAATAGTTCAAATAGTTAAAAATGTATACTGTTTTTTTCTTAGACTAAATAACTGTCAGCATTTTTTGTTGTCTCTCTCATCAGCCAACATTAAAGAAAAAAATTTAATTGCCCCCTTTTTGCATCTGAGAGCCAGAAATGTTTTCTGTTCTCACCTGTCCATTAGTCTCTGAACAAACATCGAGAAAAATAGTATCATGGGGTACCATTTTTGATGTACTAAAAGCACAAAGTAAGAAAAAAAGACTGAGATCTGGCTTTCAGGAAGTTAACAGAGACAAACAGAGAACAATTATGATCGAATGTAATTAAGTGATATCACTGAATGTAAGTCAGTGATAAGCCATGAGAATGGTTCAGAATAACATTCAATCCAGACTTTTGGAGAAGATGTATTTGCATGGAGTAGGGGAAGGAGGACAAAAACAACTTCCTAGAAGAAATGGGAGACACTGAAGTCGAAATTTTTAAAGATGAATACAGTCATTTAAAAACAGACGGCATGCCAAGCTAAAAGACAATGGGATATGAAAAAACCTGGTACTTTTAATTAAAAATGATTAACACAGGTAAAGAGAGGCTGGGAAGGTAGCAGGGACTGAACTAACACAGAGCAGCAACTTTACACATTTACCTCTAAGGTCAATTCATCAGGGGCCCGAGCAGTGTACCTCTTGATAACATGGGCAGCACCAACAGCAGGAGTGTTAATGGATGATTCTTCATGTACTAGAAGGTGATTTCCCTTATTATCAATCTATAACAACACCAAAAAAGTGCTATGAGATGGTTAAAGATATGAGACTTGCAAAAGTTTTTTTGACATTCAATTTGACTTAAGGAAATTAGAATCCAAAAATCTTTTACAAAAGCATATCATTTATTGAATACTTAATGTATGCCAGTTATTGTGCTATGCGTATAACATGATTTAATTCCTCATAACTCCAAAAGATACTAATCATCATTATTTAAAGATAAAGATGTTCAAGCTAAAAGAGTTTATGTATTTGCAAAAGATTAAATAATTTGTCCAAGATCACACAGACAATAATGAGTCTGATCTCAATGCAAGTTGACTTGGCTCTAAGTTCTACAACCTTTCTACTTTCCATCCTGCCTTCCAATTTCTAATGGGAAAAGAATAATATAACTGCATATGCAAGTTAAGAAAAAAATATTTCACATATTTACTGAATACTGTATCACCCAAGATATACTCTTTTTTATATTATTTATTCTGCTTCTTAGATTCCACATATAAGCATATTCATATGATATTTGTCTTTCGCTACTTGACTTATTTCACATACCATAATAATTCTAGGTTCATCCATGTTGTCATCAATGGTATGATTTCTTTCTTTTCTATGGCTCAGTAATATTCCACTATACATATGTACCATTTGACTAGGGATGGATACTTAGGTTGCTTCCAGATCTGGGCTATTATAAATAATGTTGTAATAAACATATGGGTGCATGTAACTTTTATAATTAGTGTTTTGGGTTTCTTTGGATAAATACCCAGGAGAGGAATTGCAAGGTCATATTTTTAATTTAATTTCAAGGTTCTATTTTTAATTTTCCAAGGAATCTCCATACCGTTTTCCATAGTGGCTGCATCAATTTACAATCCCATCAGCAGTGTAAAAGGAGTGCCCTTTTCTCAACATCCTTGCCAATACTTGTTGTTCCTTGATTTATTGATGACAGCCATTCTCGTGGATATGAGGTGATAATCACATTATGGTTTTAATTTGCAATTCCCTGATAATTAAGAATGTTGAGCATCTTTTCATATGTCTACTGGCCATTGTCTGTCTTTAGAGAAATGTCTATTCGGGTCCTCTGCCCACTTTTTATTTCATTTATTTATTTATTTTTTCAATTTTTATTTTTGTTACAGATGTTTCTCCTTTTTGCCCCAAAGACATGGTCCTCCCCATCCCGCTCCCCCCACCCCCCGCCTCCCAGCATTGTTGTCTATGTCCATTGGCTACGCTTACATGCATATAAGTTATTTGGTTTATCTCATCCATCCCCCCGCCCCCCTTCTCTGATGTCTGTCAGTCTGAACTGTAATCCTTTCTATGTCTCTGGGTCTATTTTATTCATCAGCTTATTTTGTTCATTATATTCCAAAAATAAGTGAGATCATGTAGTATCTGTCTTTCTCTGATTGGTTTATTTCACTTAGCATAATGTTCTCCAGGTCTCTCCATGTCATCTCAAAGGATAAGAGATCTTTCTTTCTTACAGCTGTATAGTATTCCACTGTGTATACATACCTCAGCTTTTTATCCACTCATCTATTGATGAACACCTGGGCTGTTTCCAGATCTTAGCTATTGTAAATAGTGCTGCTATGAACATGGGGCTACATATATTCTTTCTGATTGGTGTTTCAGGTTTCTTAAGGTATATTCCTAGAAATGGGATCATTGGGTCAAATGGCAGATCAATTTTTAATTTTTTGAGGAAACACCATAGTGTTTTCCATAGTGGCTGCACCAGTCTGCATTCCCACCAGCAGTGTGCTAGAGTCCCCTTTTCTCTACACCCTTGCCAGCACTAGTTTGATGATTTGTTGATCTTTGCCCACTTTTTAATTGGAGCAGTCTTTTGCGTTGTTTTCTTTTTTGTTTTGTTAACTTGTAGAATTTCTGATATATTTTGGATATAAGTCTTGTGTGTCTGGCAAATATCTTCTACCACTCAGTAGGTTGTCTTTTCATTCTGTTGATTTCCCTTGCCATGCAAAAACTTTTTAGTTTGATGTAGACCCATCTGTTTATTTTTTCTATTGTTTCCCTCACCCAAGAAAAGATACCCCCCCAAAAAAATATTGCTAACAGTGATAACAAAAAGTTTACTGCCTATGTTTTCGTCTATGAGTTTTATGGTTTTAGGTCTTAATTTAAGTCTTTAATCCATTTGAGTTCATTCTATATGGTGTAATAAAGTCATCTAGTTTCTTTTTCTTTTCATTTTTTGCATGTATCTGTCCAGTTTTCCCAGTATTACTTATTGAAGAGACTATCTTTACCCCATTGTATATTCTTGCCTCCTTTGTCATGGATTAGTTGACCATATAGACAGGTGTTATTGTTTTTTCCCCTAGGATCTCTATTTTAGTCCATTGAACTATGTATGTCTATTTATAACAACATAAATGTTGTTCGGATTATTACGGCCTTGTAGTATAGTTTGATGTCAGGTAGCATAGTTCTTTCTCAATATAGCTTTGCCTTTTCATGGTCTTTCTGATTCCATATAAATTTTAGGCCTCTTTTTTCTAGTTCTATGAAAAACGTCATTGGTATTTTGACAGAAATTGCATTGAATCTATAGATTGCTTTATGTAATGTGGGCATTTTAACGTTAATTATTCCTATACATGAGCACGGTATATGCTTCCATTTATTTGTATTTTCTTTAATTTCTTTCTTCAATGTCTTAAAGTTTTCCAAGTATAAGTCTTTTTTACCTCCTTACTTAAATTTATTCCTAGGTATTTTACTCTTATTGATACATTTGTAAATGAGATTTCTTTCTTAATTTCTCATTCTGATAGTTCATTAGTGTATAAAATGCAACCAATTTCTGAATATTAATGTTGTATCTTGCAACTTTACTGAATTCGTTTATTATTTCTAATAGTTTCCTGGTAGAACCTTTAAGGTTCTCTGTATATGGTATCATGTCATCTGCAAATAATGACAGTTTAACTTCTTCCCTTCCAATTTGTATGTCTTTTATTTTTCATGTCTAAATACTGTAGCTATATTCAATACTATGCTGAATAAAAGTGGTGAAAGTGGACATCCTTGTATTGTTTCTAATCTTAAAGGAAACCTTCCAGTTTTTCAGTATTGAATATGATGTTAGCTACAGATTTGTCATATATGGCCTTTACGATGTTGAGATATGTTTATTTCCTCTATTCTTGCTTTGCCGAGAGTTTTTATCATACATGGATGTTGTATTTTGTCAAATACTTTGTTTGTATCTACTGATATGATCACAATTTTTATCTTTCATTTGTTTATATGGTATATCGCATTAATTATTTTGCAAATATTGAACCAACCTTGCATACCAGTAATAAATCTTGCTTGATCGTGGAATAAGACCTTTTTAAGTATTGCTGACTTTGCTTTGCTAACGTTTTGCTGATAATATTTGCATATATGTCCATCAGGGACATTGGTCACTAATTTTCCTTTTTTGTAGTGTCTTTGTTTGATTTTGGTATCAGGATAATGCTTGCCTGATAAAATTAGTTTGAGAACCTCTATCCTCAATTTTCTTTTTGGAATAGTTTGAGAAGGGCAAGTATCAATTCTTCTATAAATGTTTGGTAAAATTCATCTGTCAAGCCATCTGGTGCAATACTTGTTTGTTGACAGGTTTTTTTTTATTAATGGTTTGATTTCATCATCGTTCTATTCAGATTTTCTATGTCTTCCTGATTCAGTCTTGTATAACTGTATGTTTCTAGGAATTTATCCATTTCTTCCAGCCATATTATTGTTGGTATATTACTGTTTGTAGTATTTTCTTATAATCCTTTGTATTTCTCTAGTGTCAGTTGTCAGTTTTCCTTCATTTCTGATTTTATTTATCTGGGCCCTCTCTCTTTTTTACATCTTGACGCAGTATCTTTTTCCATCCCTTTACTTTCTGTGTGTGTCTTATAATCTGAAATGGGTCTCCTGTAGGCAGCATATGCATGGGTCATGATTATACATTCAGCCACCCTATGTCTTTTGATTGGAGCATTTATATAATTTGCATTTGAAGTCATTATTAATAGGTATTTAATTATAGTCATTTTATTAACTGTTTTCTGAGTGTTTTATAGTTTTCTGTTCCTTTCTTATTCTCCTGCTGATGCCACTGCAATAATCTGGTTATTATTTAACAAGAAAGGAATAAAGGGGAGATTAGCAGTTTAACACTCTAGGTCTGTTCCCCACTGATCATTGGGGGAAGGGACTGGACAACAGCAGTTCAGATGCAGCCAGTAAGGTCTGAGTGATGTGGGAAAGTGCTACCTATACATCACACCTATGAGCAAGTCAGGGGCCAGAACAGTCATGACCAGTGCAAGTGCACAAACCTGAATATTTGATCTCCCAAACAAAAGAAAGTGCTCGTGCGCGCTCTCTTTCTCTCTCTCTATCTCCCCCCCCCCATTCTTGCCACTCAATGGCGCTTCCATGCTCTGCATTTGCCCACACTGTCCACAGCCATGTGGGATCCATACAATGGACTGATGGACTAAATTCAACCTGATCCTGATCTGGACCCAGCTGTACCATAGAATGGGCACTTTAACCCTATTTTTGGCCTTACTAAACCCACAGCTGCCCTTTTTCCTGGACTGGGTTAAGGGACATTACAACGCCAGGAACATAACTCCATGCCAATAAAGACCATTCATTCTTCCGTGGTGGCTTCTGAAAATGCTTATTTCAGTGGTACCCCAAGAACCCCACTCCCAAGAGTGTTGGAGGGATCTGGCCCACTCATCCCTCCGGTAACACTCTATCTTCTCTTGTATATTGATGGCATTCTATAGTGTTATGTTTAGATTCCATTGTCTTTTATTCTTGTATATCTTTTATAGATTTGTGGCTTGTGGTTCCCATGTCCTTCATATATACCAAGCTTGCTTATAGCAGTCTATTTTATGTTGATGGTAGCTTAAGTTCAAACACATTCTACAATCACTGCAATTTTTTTTTATTTTTTATCCTCACCCGAGGGTATTTTTGCCTTTATCTTCAGAAAGAGTGGGAGAAAGAGAGGAAGGAAGAGAGGGAGAGAGAAACATCAGCATGAGAGACACACATCAATTGGTTGCCACCCGCACAACTCCAACTGGGGCCATGGACAAACTGCAACCAAGGTACATGCCCTTAGCAGGAATCGAACCTGGGACTCCCTGGTCTGCGGGCCAACGCTCTAACCACCTAGCCAAACCAGCCAGGGCTCACTGCAATTTTTATTCATCCCTTCCATGTTCATACTTTTGTCATTATTTTTTACTTGTTTCATGTGTTTGTGTGTATCCCTTAATTTATTGTTGCAATTACACATGATCTCTCTACTTTTACCTTTTAATCTTTGTAACAGCATTATAGTTGGTTGATCCACTGCTTTTACTAAGTGTTCACCTTTGTCAGTGAGAATTTTTTCTTTTTTATATTTTCTTATCCACATTTTTTATCTTTTCTATTTAAAGAAGTCCCTTTAACATTTCTTATAATAATGGTTTAATGGTGAAGAACTTTTAGCTTTTTCTTCTCTGGGAAACTCTATGTTTCCTTCCATTCTAAATGACAGCCTTGCTGGATAAAGCAATCTTGTAGGTCTTTGCTCTTCATCACTTTGAATATTTCATGCCAATCTCTTCTGGCCTGCAAAGTTTCTGTTGAGAAACCAGCTGACAGTCTTATGGGAGCTCCTTTGTAGGTAACTAACTACTTTTCTCTGGCTGCTTGTAAGATTCTCTCTTTGTCTTTAACCTTTGACATTTTAATTATGATGTGTCTTAGTGTGGGCCTCTTTGGGTTCATCTTGTTGGGGACTCTCTTCACTTTCGGGACTTGTGTCTTTTTCCTTCACCAGGTTAGGGAAGTTTTCAGTCATTCCTTCAAATAGGTTTTTAATCCCTTGCTCAATCTCTTCTCCTTCTGGTAGCCCTGTGATTCAAATGTTGGTACACTTGATGTTGTACCAGAGTTCTTTTAAAGTATTCTCATTTTTTGAAACTTTTCTCTTTGCTGTTCCAATTAGGTGTTTCCTGCTCCCTTGTCTTTCAAATAGCTGCTTCAGTCCTCTGCTTCATCAAATCTGCTGCAGATTCCTTCTAATGTGGTCTTTATTTCAGTTATTGTATTCTTCATTTCTGACCAGTTCTTTTTAATGTTTATCTCATATTTTTATGTTTTCTATCTCTTTATTGAAGTCCTCACTGAGCTCATCTACTCTTCCCCTAAGTTCACTGAGCATCCTCATAACCAGTTCTGAACTCTGCATCTGGTAATTTGCTTGTCTCATTTCATTTGGTTTTTCCTCTGAAGTTTTGTCCTATACATTTGGGACATTTTTTTCTGGTCTCCTCATTTTAGCTGACTCCCTGTGTTTGCTTTTAAGTATTAGGAAGACCTACTATGTCTCCCAGTATTAACAGAGTGGCCTTATGTAGAAGGTGTCCTGCAGTTCCCAGTGATGCAGTCTCCTTAGTAATAATGTAAGCCAAGTTGCTCCAAGGATGTCCACTGCAGCCCTGGCCGGTTTGGCTCAGCGGTTAGAGCATCGGCCTGCAGTCCAGAGAGACCCGGGTTCGGTTCCCGCTAGGGGCACGTACCTCGGTTGCAGTTTTTCCCCCGGCCCTGGTCGGTTGGTCATGCAGTGGTAGCCACTCGATGTGTTCCTTTCGCATCGATGTTTCTCTCCCTCTCTCTCTCTGTTCCTCTCTCTCCCTCCCACTCTACCTGAACAAAAAATGGAAAAATGTCCTCGGGTGAGGGAAAAAAAAAAAAGGATGTCCATTGCACAGGTTGCATGTGCCTTCCCATTATATTTGAGTTTCAACTGCTGTTTTGTAAGTCAGTGGGTGGGGTTGACCCTCAGGATAACTGCCTTTGGGTTGGTTGTGACTACACTGAATGAGCTATTGTTCAGGAGCTGACCCCACAGAAAGTGAGTAGCTTTAGCAGGGCTCAGATGCCTGCTGAGTAGTCCATCCTTTAGGTGTGTTGTTTGTGGAGATGAGTGTGTGGTGTTGTGTTGTGGTCTGAAGCTGGCCACCAGGTGTGTTGTTTCTGGAGCCTCTTAGGAGGGACTCTTGTGCAGATCAATGTCAACCACCACTTGTGCTGTACTTGGAGCCTCTTGGTAGAAGGTACCAAGTAATCTAGGGTTGGCTGCCGCTGTGTTGGGCTTGGACGTTCTTGGGAGAGGCTATCATGTGTACTGAAGTCGGCTGCCACTTGTACTGGGCTTGTGGGCTGCTCAGTTGAAGCTACTTTACAGTCTAAAACTGGCCACCACTATGCCAAGCATGGAGCCACCTGATGGAAGTTACAATGCAAGTTGAGACTTGTTGTGGCTTGTGCTAGCCTTAAGGGCCACTTAGTAATAACCACAAAGCATGCTGAGGCCAGCGGCTGCTTGCCTTTATTTTGTAGATGTTTTGAGATATTTTGGGAAAGTCCATAGAATGAGACAAGGCAGGCTGCTTATGTAAAGGAGCTGCTTAGGGTGGGTGGCTAGGCAAGATGGGTGTAATGGGATCTCAGAGAATCACGAGGACTGGGAGAACAGAATCATCCAGATTAAGGGAGAGCTCAGATCTGGTGCTCTCCTACACTGGGCTGGCTGGGTGGATGGAGAGTTCAACAAGAGAACCATGTCGCCTGCTAGCAATTCTGTTCCTGAACAAGTTGTCCTGACCTCTGACACAATCACCTTCTCCCTGAAGCTAATCAATTTATTTCCTTCCTTATGTCCCTGGCATTTTTCTAGCTGTTGCCCCACTACTGGAGCTAGCACAAGTGAGTTTGTGAGTGAACGAGTCTATGCATGGGCCCTTAAGAGGAGCACTTTAGTCTCTAGCATCCCTTTTTCTATCTTGGATGCAATCCCCGCTGGTTTTCACAGCAAACTCTGTAGGGAGTTCTCTTCCTGGCACCTAAACCCTGAGCTAAGGAGCCTGTTGTGGGACTGGGACCACTTGCTCCTAAGGGGAGACCTGCAGAGCTAAGATATCTCTCCCAATTCTTTTTTGTTTTTTAATATGTTTTTATTGACTTTTGTTTTTAAGAGAGGAAGGGAGAGAGAGAAACATCGATGTGAGAGACACTGATCAACTGCCTCCTGCACGCCCCCTACTGGGGATCGAGCCCACAACCCAGGCATGTGCCCTACCAGGAATCGAACTCGGACTTCTCAGTCCTTGGGACGATGCTCAATCCATTGAGCCACACTGGCTGGGCCCTCCCAATTCTTAATCGCCACGCCATGGGTGTGGGACCTGCCTGTTCCATATCTCCACCCTTCCTACCAGTCTTGACATGGCTTCTTTTTTATATCCTTAGTTATACGAATTATTTTCAGCTAGTATGCAAATGGTTCTCAATTATTGTTGTTATGTAATTCAGCTGTAATTCTCATATGGTCATGGGAGGAGGTGAGCACAGTTTACCTACTCTGCTATCTTGACTGGAAGTCACTCAAAACATATTCCTAAATCAGATCCTTTATAAGGTTAGTTGTCTCTTGTTTATAAATAACTGAAAAATATTTTCAATTACTAAGTGAACTGAAAATATATACATAGCGTTCTAAATGTATAAATTAATATATTAAACACCAAAATAAAAGGTATTATTGTGATTCAAATAACAACATTAAAATTAGTTTCCAGGATTATCAAAGATTTAAGATGAAAAATATTTAATGTGTCACATATTCATCCTTCTAGAAGATAGCATAAATTCCATTTCTTTGATTCCTAAAACACAATAGCTATCAAAATTAAACTAATATTAAATGTCTTAAGTATATAACTTAAAAATAAGCCTTAACAAGAGGAGAATTAGATAATACCTCCATCCAAGTAAGGGCAGGTCCACAATTGATCTTGTTGCCAGCAATAGTTGAAAGGCGGGACAGGTAAGCCATGAGCATCTGAGTGACGGACTGAAAGGAAAAAGAAGATTCAGTGGTGGCTTACAAATACTACACTCTGTCAGAGGAATAGGTGTAAATTGGTTGTTTCAAGGGAAAAGGCAAACAGGTAGGTTTTTTGGCATTTGAGTAGTTACAGAGGATTCTTCAGAGATGTAACAATTCCATGAACTGGAACTAGAGGCACTTGCATAGTGATCCCGTCTTGTAGAGAACTTTAACTTTTAAACCTTCATCATCAGAGGACAGAATATTTTATAGCTTCCAATTTTACTGCTTTTTCTTTCTGTTTGTTGTGTTTTGGTTTTTTTTTATTGAAAATGTAAAAGATAATTATAGCAGAGACATACTTGGCTTCTGCCCAGCTTCTACCATCTATTCTGAAACTCTTTCTCCACGACCTCTGTAATTTCCCCGCTATGACAGAACAGCCCTGTTCATACATGACCCTATACTATAGGTCAGCAGATTGGTCCAGGAATGTGACACAACACAAACTGGCCTAACAAGAGTTATTGCAGGAATTGGGAATTATGATACATAATTTTAGCTCAGTCTAGCTGCTACCTTAAAATAAATAAAAGCCTGGGACCTGTTGGTAGTGACCATGTTCTGAGACAGTATGAAAGAGAAAAATGCATCAGATAGGCAGATGAGAAATGGAGATAGAGAGACTCCTAGGTTTTCCATGACACAAAAGAATCTGTGGTTTTAAGATGTTCCCCAGACTCTGCTGTAGTCTCAGTTCTTGCATAACTGATGATGTTGCTACTTTGCCCTACATACTTAATTGCCTTGGAATTAATTACAGAATTGAAATGGCTTCCCCTCAGGACTTGGAAGATATTTGGCACTGTGTTTAAGCATCCACTGTAGCTGCCAAGAATTCTAATGCTAATACAATTTTTGTTCTTTGGAGAAAATCTGTTTTGTTTTTATTTTATTTTATTATTTTCATCCTCACCCGAGGACATTTTTGCATTTATCTTCATATAGAGCGAGAGGGAGGAAGAGAGAGAGAAATATCAACATGAGAGAGACACATTGAGTGGTTGACACCCACACAATCCCAACCAGGGCTGGGGACAAACTGCAACCAAGGGACATGCCCCCAGCAAGAACCAAACCCGGACCTCTCTGGTCCGCGGCCTGATGCTCTAACTGCTGAGCCAAACTGGCCAGGGCTAGAAAATCTGTTTTTTGCTCTCTAGAAGCTTTTCAGGTTTTCTCTGTTTTGGCATTTTGAAATTTCACCAGATGTTTGTAGAAGTGTGTCCTTTTACTCATTATATTAGCACTTAATGGGAACATTTAATCTGAAAACATGCCTTTTTTAGCTTAAGGGGATTTTCTTGTATTAATTTTTAGTTACTTCCCATGAGAGGACAATAGACACTTCTCAATCTATCTCCATGTTTTCCAGCTATTCTCTCACGACTTTTTATCCCCTTTGGGGCTGTGTTCTTATAAAGCTTGATCTTTCAGCTCACTAATTCTTTCTTCATCCATGTCAATTTTGTATGCAGTCCAGCTATTCAGGTTTGCTATCATTAAAATTAATTTAAATGATTATAGGATTGTTTTATTTTTGTAAAGTCCTGCTCTCATTCCATGAATGTTTTTGCTTCACTTTCTCTCTGAGTATAATAGTCATGCTCCTCAAAGCCCTCTGCTTGCTGTTCTCAGTTACTTCCTTTTCAGCCAGGTACCTCTTAACTGATGGGGATATGTGCTGAGAAACACATCCGTAGGCAATTTCATCATTATGTGAACATCTTAGAAAGCACTTACACAAACTTAGATGCTATAGCCTACTACACACCTAGGCCATATGATAGAGCTTATAGCTCTTACAAACCTGTATAGCATGTTACTGTACAAAACAGCATGAGATTAAATCAAACAGCTGAGAAAATGATGCAATGAAGAGACACAATAAATATGAGATGAATAAGGCTGCTATCAGTATAGCACAACATACTGTTTTATAGCAAACATTTTTTTAATTAAAAAGAGTATACTCTAGCCCTGGCCAGTTTGGCTAAGCGGTTAGAGCGTCGGCCTGCGAACCAGAGAGTCCCGGGTTCAGTTCCCACTAAGTGCACATACCTCAATTGCACTTTGTCCCTGTCCCCAGTTGGGGTTGTGTGTGTGGCAACCAAATGATGTGTCTCTCTCGCATCGATGTTTCTCTCTCTCTCTCTCTCTCTTCTACCCTCTCTCCCTCCCGTTCTATCTGAAGATAAATGCAAAAATGCCCTCGGGTAAGGATTACCAAAAAAAAAAAAAAGAGTACACTCTAAACCAATGATAAAAAGTATATTATAATAAATACATAAACCAGTAACAGAGTCGTGTATTATCATTAAAGAGTATTAGGTACTGTACATAACTATGTGCTATACTTTTATGTGACTGGCAGCACAGCGGGTTTCTTAGCACCACTATGACCACAAACACGTGAGTAATGCATTGCACTGTGACATTATGACAGCTACTTCAGCACTAGGCCACAGAAAATTTTCTGCTCCATTACAATATTATGGGACCTCTGTCATATATGTAGTTGACTGTTGGCATGTCGCCATGCAGCACATGCCTGCATGCTGTTTTTACCTGTAAGATCTCCAGTTTCTGTGTCTTCTGGAGTCTTCTTGTTACATGTATTTTATATTCTCTTGCCCTCAGAAATCTTACCCATTCTACTGTCAAACATTTTTATTCCGATGGTCCTTTGTATTTTTTGACATTATAAAAAATATCTTCCCTTTTAAAAAATGTCTTTCAATCTTTTATACTTTTACTAGAAATATTTGGCAGGCCCTGGCCGGTTTGGCTCAGCGGTTAGAGCATCATCCCGCGGACCAGAGAGGCTCGGGTTCGGTTCCCGCTAAGGGCATGTACCTCGGTTGCAGTTTGTCCCTGGCCCTAGTTGAGGTTGTGTGGGTGGCAACCACTCAATGTGTCTCTCTCATGTCGATGGTTCTCTCTCTCTCTCTCTTCCTCTCTCCCTCCCGCTCTATCTGAAAATAAATGCAAAAAAAAATTATTAAAAAAATAAAAAAGAAACATTTGGCAGGAGTACAGGCAGATGCACAGACACAGCCTGCCACAATAAACTTCACAGACAGCATTGTTTTAATACGCATTTTATTATTGCTGAAGTTGAGGTCTTTCTACACTTACGCTTCCATATTTTATATTCTCTTTGGAGAATGGTCTGCTCATATACACTGCTCATTTGTAAATTATAAGCTTTTTTTGTTATAAAATTATATATTGAAACTAATTTACTAAACATCCTACATAGCATTACTAAATTTTCAGTCATAAAATAATTAATTAATCCCAGAAACTACCGAGTGTTCAATATAAGCTTTTATTTCATATACAAGCAAAAATGTCTGCTAACTGATATATAGTAATTACCTCTGGACTGTCCTTCAGGGCATCAGATCGGGGAAGCTCTGAGAGCTGGGAGAATCGTCGGTCATAAATACACAGGTGAAGATGTTTATCAAGGACTCGAAAATCTTCGTAACTTCTTTTAACAATCCAACTTTTGCCCTACGGGTAAGAAGAAACAGGCTCCTATGATTCATCTCTATCAGGAAATGCTTATGAACCAGACCTTATTCTGAAATAGTATTTCATTCAGGGGATTTTATATTTTCTAATGGTAAACTTCTATTAACTTGATACTAAATAGTTAAACTCCAGAACAATAGTTATATTATATTAGAAGGTGAATAATGGAAAATAAGACAGAAGTCTCCACTAATACTCTTCCTACCACTGATCAAAGTTATTGGCTCTCTTTGGGAACAATCATTATTAGATGTTAAGACAGCATGTGACCTTAACCCTACAGAGAAAACTATAAAATAATTTTGAGTAAGAGAATACCAACAAAAATTAAAGAAACATAAAACCAGGTTATTGATTAGTTATCACCAACATTTTCTGTGACTAAGACTGGAAATTTACTTAAAAAATTAAAACTACTTAAGTCTTCATATATAATGATTCAATATGCACATATATTACTAGAACCAATTAGTTCTTCCCAATTCTCAGGCTTTCTTCCTTTCCTTGCCCAATCTCACAAACTGGTTAAAAATAAAAATCCAGCCCTGGCCGGTTTGGTTCAGCGGTTAGAGCATCCGCCTGCGGTCTGGAGTGACCCGGGTTCGGTTCCCGCTAAGGGCATGTACCTCGGTTGCAGTTTGTCCCCGGCCCTGGTTGGTCGTGCGGGTGGCAGCCACTCGATGTGTCCCTTCACATCGATGTTTCCCTCTCTCTCTCTTCCTCTCTCTCCCTCCCACTCTATCTGTACAAAAAAGTGGAAAAATGTCCTCGGGTGAGGATAAAAAAAAAATAAAAAAAAATAAAAAAAAAAAAAATAAAAAGTTTAAAAAAAATAAAATAAAAATCCACTCATAGAGCATTTTTATTACATACTGTCTTATAATTTTATCTTGAATCTATCACTTTCTATAGCCACGGCTTTAGTAAGGACTGACATCAATTCTTACCTGGAATATTGCTAACGCCCCTGCCTATGATCTCCTCTCCTGCTCTCCTCCCCACTAATAGAAAACACAAAGCTGCTCAGGTCACACTGCCAACAATCCTTAAAAGGCTCCTGTGGTCAGCAATGATGAACAAGTCTTGACTGCACACCATTTAGTTTTGCAATTTAATCTGATTTTATATGGAGACTTTCATCTCATAAAAATCTGAAGGGATGAGGAAAATAAGCCTCCAGAGTAACCAGCCATCTCAGAATGGAAGACAACATAGCTCTTCTCCATTTTCCTTAGCCAAATGGGGCAGAAACATCACTTCCTAGGAGAGGTGCTGAATTCTAAACACAGATATGTCAAAAACTAATAAGACAAACTTGTCTAATGATACTTTGGACTGTAATTCTCTAGTACATAGATCTCCTCTTTCAGACAGTTGTTAGAATGAAGAGAATAGATATGGCAAACACTTTTAAAGAAGTTTAAAATATTTTTTTTCACCCTGGCCGGTTTGGTTCAGCGGTTAGAGCATCTGCCTGTGATCCAGAGAGACCCAGGTTCAGTTCCTGCTAAGGGCACGTACCTCAGTTGCAGTTTGTCCCCGGCCCTGGTTGGTCGTGCGGGTGGCAGCCACTCGATGTGTCCCTTTCACGTCAATGTTTCTCTCTCTCTTTCTCTTCCTATCTCTCCCTCCCACTCTATCTGAACAAAAAATGGAAAAATGTCCTCAGGTGAGGATAAAAAAAATAAAATAAATTTTTTTAATTGATTTGAGAGAGAGAAACAGAGAGGGAGAGATAAAAACATCAATGAGAGAGAACATCGACCGGCCGCCTCCTGCATGTCCCCCACTGGGGAATTTGGCCCACAACCTGGGCATGTGCCCTGATCAGGAATCAAACATATGACCTCTTGGTTTATGGGTGGATGCTCAACCACTGGGCCACACAGGCTGAGTGCTTTAAAAGAACTTTTAAATAATAGTGTTCCAGTCCCTATTCTAAGAAATGCTAGCGCAATCACTCTGGAATGAGATCCAGCTCATTCTGATGATCTGCCTGAATTGACAACTCCTGATCCACAGGATTAAGTCCAAATATATTTGCACATATCATGGTTTTCATAACCTGGGCCCTGTCTAAATCGACAGTCTGATCTAACTGACTACTCCTCCAAGCCCTTTTGTTGCTTACAGATATGCTCAATTACTTCCCTTTCCAAGATGTATTTTCCCTTTCTTGACTCTGTGATTTTTCAGTACTATTCCTCCTGCCATGGAAAGTCACTCCTTTACTCTTTGCTCATGTAAGCTCCTTTGTTTTCTTATTCAACAGATCAGATCCCTTCTACCCAAAACTTTCCTAAATGACCACAGGGATGGCAAAAATAAAATAATAAAAAAAACAACAAAGGCAGGAAAAATAAAGACAAATTTCTTATCACAGAGTTGCAATTATTTTTTCTCACACACTTATTTATACACACACTAAAAATTATGCAACACTTCAAATATAAGAAAAGTACAAAAAATAACAACACATACGTCTGCCTCTATCACAGAGATTAAAAACATTGCTGATTCTTGTTTCAAAGCTCTGGATTTTTTTTTTTTTAAACTAATCATTACATAACAAAAATAAATTAATACATTAAAAAAAAGAACCAATTATTACAGATGTAAAGAACCATTCTCTCTTGTATTCTCTTCTTAAAGGCAAGGACTGGAGTTGATGTGCATTGTTATCATGCACAAATGCATGTTTTATATCTTTACTCTCTATTAATATATCTGTAAGTGATGTATATTATTGTTTTAAATCTCATATAATTCACATCTTTTTGGAACATGGAGTTTTCATTCAATAGCATGTTGAGATGTTTGCATATTGATATAGATAGCTCTATTATTAGACAAATGCTAAAGTGCAATTTATTGGAGGAATAAACCCCAGTTTATTTTTCCATTCCCCTAATAGACAAGGACCAAGTATTTCACGCCTAGCATTTTTGCACAGAGTAGTGCAATGAAAATGTGTGAGAGATTCTCCACAGAAGCTATCTGCAAGTCGAACTTCTAGATCATAATGTAAGACCATCGTCAACGTCACTTTACATTTGCCAAACTGGTTCCCAAAGTGACAATACCAGTTTGGTGTGAATTACCTATTCTGAACCAGAAACCTGTTCATTTTCTCCATTAAAATGATGACTATATTACTTATTGATATATGTGAAAGAGCAGGGATTAAAATAACTGTCAAAATAACTGAAATTTGCATTTGGGCTAGCTATCCTCACATATGTATTTTAAATTTATCTATTCTAGTTTCCGATTTTGGATTGGCCTACAATGTTCTAAAAGTTACATATGAATAACTTTAGGTACAGGACAGCAAGGTTTAATTTGCCAAAGTAATTACTACACCAAAACATTTTCCTTACTTATATTACTTGCATAGATCCTGAAGCTATATACATTTACCAACTCCTAAAAAAAAGAAACAGCTAAAAACTCGACTCTAGGATATCCCAGTAAATCCTGGCTGGTTAAGAATTACATGAAGTACATTAATATAAAGTGCTTAGTAGGGTGCCAGGTAACAGAAATTGTTTAATACATACTAGCAATTACTGTTCTTTACTAATTAAGAAACTCTTTCTGGACTGAACATATAAGAATTAGGGAACAAAGCTTCCAAACAAAATACCATGATATTTAGCAGAACAAATGACTAGTCACCAATGCTCAGTGACTAAAAGGACAAAATAACATTCTTATTGATTTCTTTTATGCATATCAGGATTTCAACCAGGGAAGAGTTAATACATCTTTAGAGATCAAAAGTTGTTTCCATATTGGCTGAATTATCAGCTTCAGTTTTGGAAAGTAAAATCTTACATTTGGTATGAAAAATTTATAAATTATATACTTTATAAATTTAATGGCAGAAGATGTACAACGCTGACACTAATCAAAAGAAAGCAGGGGTAGCTACATTAATTTCACATAGACCTGAACTCAGATCAAAGAAAGTTATCAAGGGAGAAAGGTATTACATAGTAATACAGGGATAATTTTCAAAAAAGATATAACAATCCTTAATGCCTACAATAGAGCATCAAATATGTGAGGCAAAAACTGATAGAACCATGAGAAGAAATAAGTGAATCCACTACCACAGTTGGAAACTTCAACATCCCTCTAACAAAAATGGACAGATTCAGCAGGCAGAAAATCAGTAAGGACACATTTACATGCAACACCACCATCAATTAACTGCACATAAAGGACATCTATAGATTACTTCATTAAAAAACATCCCTCTCAAGCTCACAGGGATCATTGCAAAGAGAGGCCACATTCTGGGACATAAAACAAACGTTAACAAATTTAAAATTTTAAATAAAATTTCTGCTCTCAAGTCATGATGCAATTAAACTAGAAATCAATAACAAAAAGATAGCAAGAAAGTCCCAAAATACTTGCAAGATTAAGAAAAACACTTCTAAATAACACGTGTCAAAGAAAAAGTCATAGGAGAAATTTAAAACTATTTTTAACTAAATGAAAAATTAAAATACAACATAACAAAATGTGTGAGAGATAGCAAAAGCAGTGTGTAGGTGGGATGCCGATAGCAATGAATGCATATATTAGAAAAGAAGGAAGATCCAAACTCAATTATCTAAAATTCCACTTTATGGAAAATAGAGAAAGAATAACAAATTAAAACCAAAAGAAACAATAAAAATTAAAGCAGAAATCAATGAATTTGATAACAGAAGATCAAGTGAGAAAATCAATAAAACCAACAGTGGTTCTTTGAAAAAATCAATAAAATCATAAAACTCTAGCCAGGATAAGTATAAAAAAAAAGATAGCACAAATTACTACTATCAGAAGAGAAAATGGAATAGCACAACAGATCCTAACTTAGATGAAATGAACTAATTCCTTGAAAGACACAATCTGCCAAAACTCACACAAGAAATGGACAATCTGAATAGGCCTGTATCTATTAAATAAATTTAATCAATAAT